CTTGTGAAAAGTGTTGCTTGTTTTTGAGAACTGGGGATGACAGACGGGCCTGGGTGTGATGAGCTGGGTTTGCTTTCTGTCACACCGTCACCGCGCCTCACGTCTGCCTCACCGAACAGCCATTTAAAATAAATYTGTAGCTGGCAAATTAAACAAATTAGTACTGAAAGCAAGCACTTTGACGTTTTTTTAGCTTTTTGTTTTTAAATCAAGTATCTGGGACTTTTTTTTGATTAAAAAAACATGAATTGGATCAAAATGTGAGATGAACCAAACAAAAAAACAAAAATGATCAGAGATGTGCTCAACATTTCTAACAGTTGACCCTTGAAGCACCGTCCTCGGTTTTTAACTAAAAATCTGCATATTTAAAAAAGTGAACAGTTAATATCTTACCTGCCGCAGATAGCGCTTTGAATGCTTCAGTCAGAGGCTGTGTGAGGGTTAGATGATATAGATATAAATGGTATAGATCAGTGGTTCCCACAGTTGGGGTCGGGACCCACAGTGGGGTCCTGAAACATCAAGGTGGGGTCCTGAAAAGATTTTCTGAATTAACTACACAAAAAAATGACAACCAATGCCATTTTTTTGCCTTTGCTGTTACAAAATAATATTAGTGTACTTAAAATTGACAAAAATAATGTAATAAATAATGTTATGTGCTCTTGTTTATTTGACATGAAAACAATGTTTATCAACCAACAACAGCTGGGGGCACAAGTCTCTGCTGCGGGTATTTTGTGGGTCAAAAGCTGAAAAGTTTGGGAACCACTGGGGCATAGAGTCAAAAACTAGATGTAGGCCTAATGATGGAAATTAAAATAAAAACAAAGGCAAACTCAGGTGTGAAATGAAACTCAAACAGGAAGAAATCAACTGAAATGTTCAATAGAAACACTACTATAATAAAAAAAGGTGGTAGCAGCAGCTAGCTGTAGCACTCCCGGTGCAGTGTGTTGTTTGATGTGTGGCTGTTAGCTCAGTCTGGTCAGAATTAAACTGTTTTTTCTGAGCTGAGGTTGTTCAAAGAGTTATCTACAACTGGTAAGGCGCATATTGTTCATAACATCAGGAACCCCACTTCAAAAGCTCTGAACCACACCATCAAAGAGAGGTTCAGAAAGAAGCATCTGTCACAATGTACAGTATGAAGAGCCTTTAAAAAAAAGCATGGAATTCTGTTCAAACCATAAATAAAATCCTGAATCTTTAAAGGAGCATGAATAATGCATTATTTAGCTTAAAAGACGCTGGAAGGCAAACTTTGTTCCCTTTTAGACGGAGCCGAGCAGCAGTTTTCATCTGCTCCTGGGCTTTTTCTGAAGTCGCTGTAACTGACAGATGGTTCCTGTGAAAATATTGTGAAAAGAGAGAATTTATTCTCGGCTAAGAACACGTGTGCTTTCACTAAGGTTAAGACACTCCTTCTGCGATCGACTCCTTACACAATCCTCTGCCTAAAAAAAGAAGACGTTCCTGTATTGCAGCAGTTGAACCCTATGTAGTGGAAGTGAATTTGATTAAAACGAGCTGAACCGGGGGTTCTTGGCGGTCTCCGACACACAGGTCCCTCATTAGCGGCGTGCAGGAACACCAGAGGTTATGTTGACACGCTGTCGGTTCCTCTCTTGATCCGTCGCTGCCGCTTTCATCTTCTCAACATTCTCTCAGGCTCTTTTTTATTTTTCAGCAGAGCCTCTTCCCTCTTTTATCAGATCAAATGTTTACAAATTCATCCTGTGCCGTTTGAGGCTGTAAGGTTGCGTGGTGAGCTTAAAACACAGAGAGAAAATGGGCCACCATTTTTTTATTGGAACAAATGTCCCCCAGGAAGACACTAATAATGCACCCACTTGTGCCGCGTGCTTTAATTACACTTTGAAACTCATTAGTATCGAACAAAGTGCTGTTTACAAGTACGCTGAATAATAAGGGCCAGTCGAGCAGCAACAAGAGTAAAACTGGTTCACTTTTCTTCTGATGACAGAGAGTTGTGTGTTAACCTCTGTCATTGTCCTTGAACATGTGTAGCTAGGAGAGAGCAGTTTTGTTTGGTTACGGGGGGAGGTGGGGGGGGTGAGCACCCAATGATTTTATTTCAGTGTGAAGCTCCGACAGTTGTGCCAGTTCTGAGAAATTATTCACAAACTGTGACACAGAGCCAAGGAAACATTGCAGGAACACGGAGACACTGTTCAGTTAGCTGCCCTCTGCTAGGAGCTGAGCTGCCTGCTTTAGTCAATGCTCAATTTTTCTGAAAGACATAATCTGGTCATTTTCTACAGGAAGCTTAGAGTTAGAAGAGTTTTATGTTAGAAGTTGCCCTATGAGGATTAATTTTACATTTGCTTCACCTCATGGTCAGACAGCAGCAGACTTACAAGCGCCGCTCGTTCATTTCGGCTCAGTCAGGTGAATATCTGACTGTAGCTGAGAGCGAGGCTGTATGAAGGCTGAGTGCTTTGGGGCAGGGGGACTCATTAGAAAGAACAATACTTCCTTTTACAGCAGTCTCCAAAAGTCTCCGATACTAACAGAAGAATTGTTTCTAAATATAGCACCCTAATCACAAAGTTGGCAACACTGAATATGATGCACTCAGTTAATCTGTGCTCAGCACACATACTGTATTTTGTGTTGTAACATGATTGTTGCTTTAACAAATGGTGACWAGTGAAACATTACTTTAAGAAAAATGTGGATACAATCTTGTAGTTATTTTAGTAAAACTTGAAAAATTTACAAATCTGAATGATATATACGGTATCAGAATTCACTTTAATTCTTATATAGTGCCTGCCATATGTATGCCTTTAAAT